TACATAACATTTTTATTTTCTTAATGCTGAGGAAGATTCATCCTGAGCTGACATCTGTTGTCAGTCTTCCTCTTTTTGTATGTGAGCCACTGCCACAGCATGGCCACTGATGGACGAGCGGTATAGGTCTGCAACTGGGAATCAAACCCAGGCCACTGAAGTGGAGCACACCAGACTTAACCACTAGGCCACCAGGGCTGGCCTGATGACATTTCTTTTTAATTCATGCACTTGTTCATCCCAGTAAGCTGCAGAGGTGGGATTGGGGGGATAGAGATTCTAACCATCAATGTTGATCAAGGTCTCAGGCTGATGGACAAGGCTAACCATACATGCTCACACGTCGTTGGTCAAAGTAAGCCACACGGCCGCATCGACTTTAAAGGACACCACTAAATGCAATCTTATCCTGTGCCTAGCAAAAAGAGACAGAGTATTTGTGTTCAATCTAATGTCTACTACTCTCAGTGAGGTACATAACTATCCAAAACCGACTTCCTTGACTTTAAGTGCCCTTATCGCCGCTTCTCAGAATTACTTCAGTATTTTCTAGCATCTGAGTTCTCACCATAAATTTATAGAGATCATAACAGTGATCACATATTATTACAATACAGACCAAATGTGGTAAGTGGAAATGAAAGATCTCAGATCTCAAATCAGCATTAATGTTTTCTGCACAAATTGCACTTTTGGGATATACACAATAGAAAGTGTAATATTTTATGTGGTTCCTTATATGAAAATATGAAAAAAGAAGCTAGGAGAAGAATTTTCGATAAAGCTCTTGAAATGAAGAAAACAATTTGCTATAGTTACTAACAATACTGTGTTTTTAAGTTAATTAATCAATTAGGTCAGTTAGTTGATTGGTTAGTTAGTTTTAGTTTTAGTCTTAGTTTGGTGATACTCCCAAAGAGTGTGTCCTTTACTTTTGGTTGTTGCATGGCAGAGAGAATAAATTAATCAGATGGGAGGGCAAAGTGTTTTGTCCACTTGAAAATGTTAGAAGGTGAATTGAGACCATAAAGTTAATCAAGGTTAACAGACAGGTAATAAAAAGCACCTGATGACTGAAGCGAGCTTCCCGGAAGGTTGGCCACAGTCCTAGGCTTTTCAGAGCCTTACGAGGTGTGTGAACCTAAGGAAGAGAAAACATATTCAAAGTGAGTTTGATTAATAACATTTATATCAAAGAATAGCAATAAATTTAGTTGCAGACTTGTGCTCAATAGCTACTACTGCACACTTGTATTTTTTATTTTATTTTATCTATTTTTTTAATATTTTGTTGTTGTTGTTGTTTGTTTGTTTGTTTTTGAGGAAGATTAGCCCTGAGCTAACTACTGCCAGTCCTCCTCTTTTTGCTGAGGAAGCCTGGCCCTGAGCTAACATGCTACCCATCGTCCTCTACTTTATATGTGGGACGCCTGCCACAGCATGGCATGCCAAGAGATGCCATGTCCACACCCAGGATCTGAACTGGTAAACCCCAGGCCACCGAGAAGCAGAACGTGCAAACTTAACTGCTACACCACCGGGCCAGCCCCTTATTTTATTTTATCTGTTTACTTATTAATTTTTTTGAGGAAGACTAGCCCTGAGCTAACATCTGCTGACAATCTTTCTCTTTTTGCTGAGGAAGACTGGCCCTGAGCTAACATCCGTGCCCATCTTGCTCTGTTTTATATGTGGGATGCCTGTCACAGCATGGCTGGATAAGCAGTGTGTAGGTCCACACCTGGGATCTGAACTAGTGAACCCTGGACCGCTGAAGCAGAATGTGCAAACTTAGCCACTGTGCCACCTGGCTGGCCCCACACCCTTGTATTTTTGCAAAAATAAAATATTTTAAAGCCTTTGAATTGAGATTTATTCGTTCAGACTTTAGCTTGCTTAGTACAGTCTTTTACCCCTTGAGATCAGAGGTTTTCTTACATTCATCTATATTACTGGCAAGATTTCTGGTAGTAATAGAGAATAAATAGGAAACCATTAATATATTTTCTTGTTAAATTAGTATATAAGCTGATTTTAGAAAATAATATAAATTTCTTACAGCTTTTTTCATATTACATCTGTTCTTTGTCAAATTTAAGAGGAACCAATTAAAGAAAATTGTAAATACTCCAGGTCATAATAGGTCATTGGTTTGTATTCGTATATATATAATTGTTAAAAAAGATAAGTAAGGCTAGATTTGCACTCTTATAATACATATTTACCCTCAGTCATCTAGGAAGAAATAGCCATTTAGAAAACGTTTACATGGGATGTAAAATATCACCATTGAATCAATCTTCTTGGTTCTTTGAAGCCTCATTAATTCACTTAGTTCGCTTCTTAATCTATGAGTATATACATACGAGTTTGTAAATTTAGCACTTTAAACCATTGAAAAATACATACCACAACTTTAAGTTCAAGTTATGTATCTCTCCCTTGATAAAATTATCAGCATTTTTCAGCAAATAGAAAGAGTAAATGTTCGAGGGTAACCCTATATGCTGTGGAATTAATGAGCAACTGTTATTTAGATCATGGTTTAATAAACAACTTCTTAGAAGCATTGTATTATTACATGCCTTGTGATATATCACAAAGTACTAAAACAAACATTTTATTTTAAATACTCTCCTTCACAATTTTCAATATATATTTACATAGATTATATATATATAGAAAACACGCATGCACAAATAAATTCAGGTAAATTGCTTACAGAAGGAAAAGACATAACAAAAAATTATTGATATCAATCCAGGTTTGGAAAGATAACAAAGACATTCTGACACTCTTCTGGGGAAGCATGAATTAATAAATCTGGTGTAGTACCCCCAAAAGCCCTAAATTGACTAAAAAGAGAGCACTTGGAGTAAATTTCAAAGGCAATATACCAAATAATTGAATCCGTAGTTTTCTTCAGTGTGATCCCCAGACTAGCGTTATTAGCATTGCTTGTTAAAAATGCAAACTCTTGACTCTACCCCAGACATAATGAATCCGAAAGTCTGAGGTGGAGTTTCCAGGTGATTCTAACAGGTGCTGAAGTTTGAGACCCCTTGGTAGAACAATACTATTTAAAACTGTTTAGATCAGCTGATTTATATAGGTGATAGCAAGAGTTTCTCAAGAAGGAAACCGGAAGTTAACTTATTTTCAGGTCAAAGTCCTTCCTGGATTCCTTAGTGAATCTTATCTTATAATTAGTTTCCAGAAGACTGCATGGGTTGTTTGGCTGCCAAATGTGCATCCTACAAGCAAAATTTTCACAGTTAGGGACTCTTTCTCAGGGACATGCCTCTTTGTCCTGAAAGTATTTACTGTTCTTTATTGTTCTGTGTAAATCTTTTCCCTGTGACCCTGCATCTAGCAACTCTTTTCCCCTTCAGAGATTGCTAATATCAAATATTGCCTCCCCAGAGTCATCCTCTTGGGTCACTTAAAATAAAATAGGGCCACACTGCCCACAGCTCTGCTGACCATCGCAGCAGGCTCTCACCACTTAACACAGCCTGAAATTTGTTCTTGTTGTTGCTAAGGAAGCTTAGCCCTGAGCAAAGGTCTTTGCCAATCTTCCTCTACTTTATATGTGGGTTGCCACCATGGCATGGCTGATGAGTGGTGGAGGTCCACACCCAGGATCTGAATCCACCAACCCAGGCTGCTGAAGCAGAACATGCTGAACTTAACCACTATGCCTCAGGGTCAGCCCCAACACAGTCTGAAATTTTTTAATTTAACAACTTGTTTGTTTTATTTATTTTTTAAGCTTTCTCTAGGATGTGAACTCCATTTTGACGTGGACAGTAGGGGTCTGGTTCACAGCTGTGTATCCTCATGTACTGTTTGCGATACAGTGCAGGCATTTCTTGGAGGCAAAAATTTAAGTAAATATGGCATATATTTATATAATATTTAACTAACATTTTATTTGCTAAACAGTAATTGAATTAAATAACACATCTAGGAGTATTAAGCCTGGTAGGGGGAATTCTTCCCTGTGGAAGTGATTTGAGATTCTTTTCAGACCACTCTTCAGAAAAAATCTGTATAGTTGATATCAGCTGATCTAGTTCACCATAGTTCTTTTCCAAAGTATTCTTAGGTGGATTTTAACTCAATATAAATGTATAAATCTTTTGTTATTGTATTTTGTTTTTTTTTTATGAGGAAGATTGTCACTGAGCTCACATCTGTACCAATCTTCTACTTTATGTGGGACACCACCACAACGTGGCTTGATGAGTGGTGCTAGCCCGACACCCAGGATCTGAACATGCGAGCCTTGGGCCACTGAAGCAGAACGTGAGAAACTAACCACTATGCCGCTGAGCCAGCTGCCAATAAATCTTTTTTTAAATCTACAAATCTTTTATAACTACATCTGCCATTTCTCCAATTTGGCCAAATCCACCTTAAAAGTCATTTTGCATCTTAAGAAATTGCTAATCAAGTGGAATTTGAGTTTCAAAATATGTTGTAAACAATAATCATTGTAACAAAATAGTTTCTCTTTTGATCATGTTTTTTAAATTCTTATACAGTTTCATCATATCCTTCAGGTTTTACAAGTTTCCATTTTAAAGTGAATAGAGAATCATTAGAATGATGAAAATAAATTTATTCTCTTTTTTCCATTTCCCTTGGAAAATGATAAAATATTACCTTAGTTTTTTTTTCTTAATAACTCTACATTCATATTCTATGCATAATGAAATCATTTTTTATGAGTACATCTTTCCTTGGGAAAAAAAAAATCAGTAGAAGCTATTTACTAGAAGTGGCTTACTTTTCCTCTACGTGACTTGGTTTTGGAATATTCACTCCAGTTCAATCAAATTTAAATATTGCTTTTCCTACTCACAGCTCATGACATCTTATTACAAGCAAGAACTGTTGTGATGTAGTGACCCCAGCTAAACTACCCAGTGAACTTTTCAAATGAAAACATTCAGGTAGATGATGTACTTATGAATCAAAATAAATTTGCTTTTCAGGGAGTTTGGCCGCTGGAAAGTAAATAACCTTGCAGTTGAGAGAAGAAATTTCCTTGGCTCCCCTCTGCCTCTTGCCCCTGAATTCTTCCGCAACATAAGACTTTTGGGACGTCGACCTACCCTTCAGCAAATCACAGAAAACCTTATCAAGAAATATGGGACTCATTTCTTGCTATCTGCTACTCTGGGAGGTACGACTATTTGAAAATATTTGTGCCTGTGTGTGCTTGTGCATAAAACTGTATAAATCAAGTAAACGTGCCAATTAATCCAGATAGTTGCTGTCTGAATAATTCTAAAGTTCATTCATTAACTTATTCAACACATATATTGAATTAGTACTAAATGCCTAGGATGGTGTTTATGATGGTGAAGTAGATGAGTATCACTTAGTTTCTGCCTGGAAGCAATTACAATCTAATAGCACACATTAAATATAAGCATAGTTATTGCTATACAATGCAAGGTGATGTGCCAAATTTTTTTTAAAAAGAGATTAATAAGCTGATCAGAGGTGAGAGTCATCGCTTCTGGTTACAGAGAGCAGGAAGAGTTTCCTGGAGTAAATATTGAAGATGTTAAAATTATTTTTAGCATTATTTTAGTATTTCTGATTGTGGTTGATATATGATATGGAAAGAGTGATAAATATCAATTATCATGCAAAACGTGAAAGTAAAAATTAATGTCACTTCTTCCTCAATTTTTAATTTGTAAAAATTAAAAAAGCTGTGGTTTAACACCATTAAATATGTGTTTTATCATGGTGATGTATAATTCAGCATTTTGAATACATTTAAATGATATTATGATAGGTAATGTGTAATAAAATATATATGACATTTTCCTAAAACTTAAAAATATCCCAACATTCAGTGTAGTTAATTTTCTGTAGGACTTTAAATAATGTCCACCCATTTCATTTAGAAATGGATGTTACTCTTTCCTGTAATGAAGAGCATTGAATAAAATTGGATAGGAAAGCCATGACAATATTGAGCCCCTGCTTCCCTGGCAATTTCTCAATGAGTTTGCTGAACACAGTCAGGCTGATTCACACCAATGGTGGGGCAGCAGGAAAGGCCACCTGCTCTTCATTTTCCCAGTCTTAGATGATGAATCTTTTCTTTCGTTTATCTGCCAGTCCAACCTGTCAGAGATCATGTCCGTTTATTTCTCCAGAACATATCCCATATCAAACGCTTTCCTAACTTCTACCCAGACATGCCTAGACCAAGTCACCATTGTGTTTCTCCTAGAATACTCCATAAGGTTCATCCTTCACACAGATCTTTTTAAAATCTGAATCGGGTCAAATCATACCCTACTTTAATTAAAATCTATAACTAGCCACTTATAAAACCCAAATGTCCCGCCATGGTTTATAAGGCACTACATGAATTATATGACACTAGCTTTTATCTCAGACCTCATCTTTTCTCTCTCTCCATCATGCTCTATTTTTCAGTCAAATGACTTTCACATGTTTCTGCTCCAATATGACTTTCTCAGAGAGGACTTTCCTGACCATTCTACAGCAGTAACGCCGTGGACCACCAACATTCTCTACTGTTTCATGATCTTCCTTTGCATTTGTCATAGTATTTACTATGTGAAAATATTTTATTTACTTGTTTCCTGGTTTATTATCTGTCATTCCTTCATATTTTCTGGAAAACAGGGGCCTTACCTGTATTTGTCATCCCTGTACTCCCATAGTTATCATAGTGAGGGCACACATAAGTTCTTGTTAAATGAGTAATTATAACTACACTATGCTAGGAGGCTGAGGTTGTCTAGTTCACTAAATAAGTGTCAAAAGTATACAGAAGAGAATTGAGATCTAATTCAGGAAGAAGGCTGAATGAAAGAAGCAAATCCAGGCAGCCAAAACGGGTCAGTTAAACAAATAAAGTCGGAACTGATGGGAATCAGGATGCAAGCAAGAGCAGGTGAGCAAGACACAGAGAGGTCGGGAAGGTAGTAGATCCCTGGGCACACTGAGGAAATACGTCAACCTTGTAACCCTAAGGAATTAAAGATGGAAGATGTAGGTGGTTCAGGCAGACAGAAAGGCTAGCTGTGATTACACATTCTCTCTCCATCACCTTCCTCCATTAATGAATAATAGTAAAATAACAAGATGAAGAGATCAAACAAGCCTGATGTTGAATCCTGACTCCCCCCTTTTTTTTAACCAACTTTCAAACTTTAAGTAACTTCTCTGATTTCTACTGTTTTTTTTTTAGCACAAACACCTATGTGACGTGGTTGTGGGAAAATTAGTGTCAATGTAGGAAAATATTCTTGGCACAGTGTATGGAATAATTTAAACATGTGATGCATTTCTATTATTGCTATTGTTATTACAGTAGTGTGGATAGCAAAAAAATCACAAAATATTGTGAAAGCTGATTCTGTGAAAGATCTGTCTATTTGGCTTAGAAATGGCAATGAGAGGAGGATTGATAGTAGTTAGCTCAAGGCTAATCTTCCTCAAAAAAATAAAAATAAAAAAAAGACATGGCAATGATTATTGATGCAATAAAATCTGAAGTAAAAGTGAAAATTAAATTATTTCTATAACTTTAAAAAAAAGTTCAGTGGGCTTGAGACATATTAGGCTTCATGACCATTGTGTCCACAATGCGGAGTACCCAGAAGAATTTCAGAGTGTGAAATATATTCTCCTAATAAGAAAGGAAGGGGCAGAGGGAGGGCAGAAGAGATCAAAAGGCACAGATGACTCTCATAGACATTTGTGTTCCTTAGTAGCAAAATTATGACTTCTTGATTCATTTCACAGTTTTGGCATTATGGATGCCACATTTTGGCCTGAAGATGAGTTTTTGCTTTGTATGTTTTTTGTTTGTTTTCATAAACCATGTTTGTGGAATTAAGGCATTTCTTCAGGTTGATTATTCAATGATGGCAATATGTTTTCTCAAAATCGCCTTACTTCGATTATTTAAAAGTCTTGTTTAACCATTTTCTTGAATAGGAGAGAAGGTAGAATTGCCACCCGCACTCACCTTCTAATCTCTGAGTATTCCTTGGATTTAGTGTTTCTGGTATTTTCTATTGGAATTCTCTTTTTTTTCTAAATGTTCCTTATATTTTTCTTCAGGAATCTTTGTCGGGAGATGTTAATCATTTGGCTAAAATGCATGAAATTGTTTAAGTAGCTTACGAACGAGCTATTTGCAATTAAAATGCACAGCAGGTTGATGTCAGACAATTTTTAAATTATTGCTGTTGTAGTTACTCTAAACCTTTTTCGTTGCTGCTAGTATGTTTTAGCTTCATATATTTTACCTGACTGAACATGAAATTATATTACTCTATTTTTTGAAAAATTGAAATTGGTCATATTTAACTGGAGCTAATTTTCCCTCTGTCTCTTTGGTTGATTAAGACTAAGGAACAATACTAAAACTAACACACTGATGATGTCGTGTATATAAGCAAGTATTTTAAACACAAAAACAGATATTTCATAAGTAGGCAGTCCCTAAGTAACTGGATCTTCAACTAAATTTAAACATTTTTCAAAAAAAGTTGAGCATAAAATACTCACTACCAGTATAAAAGTGATGAAAAGGAAATAAACGAAAAATATCTTTTTTTCCAAAAGTTTTTTAGTACGTCGTATTATTGACTTAGACATAAAACTTTGGATAGCATATTTGAAGCCTTTAATGGGATATTTTAAGATAGATAAAGCCAGTGATTGAATTATTTTCTTATAGGGAAAAATAAATTATAAAAAAACTTCTTCGATATATGTCATTTTCCCCATTTATTTCATCTTATGGCTTCCAGACTATTTATCAATATAGTAATTTAGCTTGCTTCTATTTTGGATAATGATATCTAAACTCAATCACTGTTTAAATATCTAAAATAAGCTACTCACTTTAGAGAATCAATCTTGAAAAAGATTGCACTCCTGGGATTTACTTATTTCTAGCTATGGAATATATTTCATGACTGTTTTTATAATATATTTCATTATAATACAATATGTGACAAATACTGAAATAAAAGTGTATCTGTGTACTGCATATAGAAATACAAAAAAAAAAAAAAAAAAACGTGAATAGGAAAAAAAGAAAACAACCTTAAAATTGTTGGGCTTACTTGGGAAAGGGAAGGTGTCAACTAAAAAGCACCAAATCTGGGTTCTGGATCAACTGAAAAGGATTAAAGAAGATGAAGACCAAAAATTTCACTTAAAAATTTATAAAAATGTTATAACAAAATGTTTATAGTAATTTTAGATGTGACCTGATCCTTATCTCCAGAATCACATAGACTTGTCCAGCCAGGCATCCTCTTAGCCCTGAGCCACCCACAGTCACAGGATCCTGTGTACGGCTCTTGTTTGAAGCTTGGCTCTCTTACGCCTAAGGCACTAAGGTGTGCACCAAAGTGTGTGCTCTCTCCTGATAAGCACATCCTCAACAGGAAGAGGAAGAGGCGGGGTTACAGGTGGTCCCTTTCCTACACCACCTGTCTATCAACTCACTGTGCCTCTGTGGGCAGATCAGGAAAGCAGAGACAGTGGGCACCGTTTAGGTAAAGCACTATCCTATGAAGAAGAATGCAGGAAAAAATACTTTCTTCCTGATAGAGATATTGTTAAAAACTGGGCCAAAATTTATTCTAGGAGCAAACAGATAATATAATAAAATTTGTTCATTTACAACTTTAAAAAATATTTTTTATTCTGTGTAACATAAAAAGAAGTCCAGTTTGACTACTGGTTTTGAATGCACAGAGGTTTAAAAGCCATAAATAAATTTTTCACAGAAATAGTTACAATTTTTTTTCTTCATTTTCGGATCCAAATACATTTTTAGCAGAAATAGTTACAATTTTTTTTTTTCATTTGTGGGTCCTTTTTTCAAAGTGCTTCTGATGAGAATATATCTTGTGGTTACCATATTGCTCAATTTAAGCATTTCATCAGATGTTTAATTTTGTTTAAATATAGAAAATGTTTTCTTCATTGTTAGAATATAAAAAGGTATGATTGATGTCCAGAGTAGTATTAATTTACTAGAATAGTTATTTCAAATAATGAGTACTACCTCAATGACCACATAGTGTATAAAGTAACTATGCCTGCAGAGTTGTTCATATAGCTTGAAAGTTTCACCATATATTGTTTGTGTGTGTATATCTCTTT